GGGGGCTTATTTGAGAGGGGGGGCTAAATAGAGGATTTACGGTAGATAATTCACTCATTGAATACTCTTCAAAAAGCTTGTTCACTTCTAATCCTTTCCTAGTAACGTGAGTGGCGCATTAATTTAGTACAACCAGCAAGCCAATCATCAATTATATCAAAACATGAAATCTATTATTAAAGTCAGGGCACGGCTAATTCACAGATAGAATTGTCCCCTTTATAGTTCCCTACGCCATCTCGAAAGGTAACCGTGCCTTTGCATCGAAGCTAGACGAACGTTGAGCTTGCAATGATAGGGACGTGAATAATTGTCCAAGGTGTTAAAAAAGGTCTCTTTCATTGCAAGCTCACCGCTGTTCTCGCTTTGATGCTCAGGCACGGTAACCTTTCAAGATGGCGCAGGGAACTGCGAAAGGGACTATTGGAACTTAACGTGTTGGGTTCTGCAGAGGGAGGAAACCTCGAATCAAGTGAGATACCAAAAAACTCTACTTGGAAGGCGAGTGGAGTACGGCTACACCATGATGCCCTCCTGATAGCACTGCCATTGTTGCTATCATATAACTTCCTTTCTTATATCTAGGTTCGATCAAATACTAGCTAAAGAATGGAGTCCTGTAGACGACTCGTCCAATAAGAAGCGGAAAGCAGAAGGTCATCATGAACACGAGGTATTATTAGGTACTCTAGGTCTCCTTGACTGTCTGTCTTTCCCTCAGTCGTTCTGTCTGTCTGTCTGTCTGTCTTTCTGTATTTCTGACTCTCTGTTTGTCTGTCTGTCTGCTTCTCTATCTGTCTGACTTTCTTTCCTGATCTTGTTTGTATACATTTTTTTCATATCTGGGTGTACTTTTTTGTTTTTGTTTTTGTTTTTTGTTTTGTTTTTTGTTTTGTTTTTCGTTTATATTTTTATACAGTTAATAACTATATTTTATTTATGTTCAGAGTTTAAGCACAAAACATCGTTCCAATACTATGGATTTGGAATCAGTTCGGGGTGATCTAGAAACACTGAGAAAAAAAATAAAATCAGAGAGGTTAGTGTATTTTCACATGAAGCTCAAACAAGATGTTGTAATATATTATACAAATATTATACGGTCTTCTGTGTCCCTGGAAGGACACAGAGGACTGGATTGGAGCCAATCCGTCCAATGGATTTCAGAGTTTATTTCAGAGCTCGATGAAATTGAGTCGATCTGCACGCTTTTTTGTTGATTAGGGCTTATCAAAGGGAAAAGTATTTGGGTGCATACAGTCCTTTGACTAAACGTTGTCGTTGATCAGATCATCCCTACGCGCCTAGACCGAAAAGGATAACGGGTTAATTACCCAGAACTTGCATCCAAACTGCTCGCCAGCGTTAAATCTTCGCCGATGCTCGAGGCATGGTTTCAGCAAATTAAATAGGATCGAAAACAGCGAGCTCAAGACGTGTTAGATAACATATGCGGCAGCTAGTAACTGTGAATTAATTATCCCCATGATCCTTTTCTGTCTGGGCACGTAGGGATGAAGCCGATCAAACGACAACGTTTAGTCAAAGGACTGTATATACAGTCAATTCAAAAAACGTTGTCGTCGACCGGCTCAAGCCTACG